AGTTTTCGTAAATTATGTCGTAATTTTTGAAACATTTTCTTTTTCTGCTCCTATGATATGTGCTCAAAACAGTTTAGTTTTATACTTCCTTGAGCATATTTTTTGGAATAACTAAAGAATGTCACAATATTGAATATGCAGAAGAGTTTGTCATGTAGTTTTTTTTGTTATAAAATTATTTAAGTTTTTTTGAGGGAGATAGCCCACCACTATTCTAGAATAGAATTTTCTCATTATTTCTGCCATATGAACACTAGACGGCTGCGGCATGTTGAGCATTTTCCTATCACGATAACTGAGAATCCCATCAGAGATGCTGCGCATATTTGTGGTAAAATGGGGACAGTGTGCAGCTCTAAGTGGTAATTAAGCTCTTACAATATCCGTTTTAACCAAGGTTTAGAGATGATAAATGCAGCTTAGCTTAATCACTTAACAGCAGTACATAAGTTGGAAACATTTTATTGCATTTTTTTCCTTCTTCTTTACACTTTTTCATCTTCTTTATTCTTGGCACCTTATCATGATATATTGTCAAATGTAGAGTGGATACCCAGGCGGCCGTTAGGCATGCGCAATCATCCTTTATTGTGTTCGAGTGTTTTCTGTGTTTGTGGTTTAGAAGCTGGTTTAGGAGATAATTGTTATGTGTTATTTGTATTAATTTTACCAGGAAACTATGTGCTGTCGTGAGTTTTTATGTCAAATGATATTAGAAAAAAAATTAAACTAATGAATAATGGTGCTCATTCTTAATGGCAAATTTCTATATTTAAATTCTACATTAGTGTTTTCTATTGGGGTTTCGTTGAGTTAAAAATGTTATGGAAATTGTGAATGTGCAAACTAGGTTTGATTTATCAGGATGTAGAGGAAAATGTCGAGTTACTGTAAATGTCAAAAGTGGGAAAACACAGGTTTTATGAAGCTCACATGATTTTTAGCCCTACAATAAAGATCAGGTGTGCTTGCGACAGCCCGGCTCCCTTTCCAAGAATACCAAATCATTTTTAGCGTTCTAATCATGAGGTGAGAGGGAGGGTTTAGGGTTTCATTTTTTGTCTTTTCACACCGGTCCTTCTTGTGACCGTCGCAAACCTTGCGTGGACCTGCTTACAACTCAATCGTTTACTCTCTCAGATCAGCGATGCCGCTTGCAAGCTGAAGAATGGCCTCTTTCACGATCAATTCCCTGAAAGTCAATGTGTGAACCATGGTTAGTCACTCTCGCTTTTGCTTCACGAGTGTTAATACAATTGATAATTAGGCTGTTCTAGAACATCTACTTATAAATTTCCGTGTGGGGTGTTTTGAGGACAGCAAAAAAGATCGAGCACTTACCGGGTTTGCATATGATTTCAAATCGGATAATTCTGTGGAAAAATGCCGATCACATTGTTATCGAGCGGGTTTCATATATTACGGTAAGGCTGTTAGTTTTCATTTATTTACTTTCAGGTCATTTCAAGAAGAAGAAAATGCTGAAATGAACTGCTAAACTTCATAGTTTGAACTATAAACTTCAGGCTTGGAATTCGGACGCGAATGTTTCTGTGGGGATACATTATCGAAACCGACTTTGGATGATTCCAAATGTACAGAATATCGTTGTTCGGGGAACTCCTCCCAGTTCTGTGGTGGCTTCAATGCTGTAGAAGTGTTTCGCACCGGACTGAAAGGTAACAGAGTAATCAAATGTTGTGTCTTGAACTTTGAAGTACTTATCGTTTTCAGAACCACATCTCATGCCTAAAGCCAAGTATATGGAGACGAATGAGGTTGATGAAAAATCAAGAAGACCTCGAATACTCTTTCTTCTACAACTCAATGGAAGAAATGAACGTCAGGTCTGCTGATTTTACTGGCATATCGGTTGATGCATCTTGAAGGTGGTTTCTGATGAACTTGTTGTATTTAAGGTGAAACGCCTATTGAAGGTTTTGTATTCGCCGTATCATTACTACTACATTCATGTTGACCAGCGTCAGTTGTACATGCTTACAGGTATGATTTATACATAAAGGGATTTACTAACTCCTA